CGGGTTAATTTACCAATTTTCAAAATTGCCTTTTAAAATTTTTGGGGTCAAAGAAATTGAACATTTGACCTCTAAGTAAAACAATTAGTTCCTATAGAGCACTTTAATACTTTATATGTGCAATAAGTTATACGTATTTAATGAATCATATATACGTTTTGTAAAAATATTTTTATAAAAAACTTTGATCAACATTTTACTTTATTTTATAAATCGAAATAATTAGTGAAAAATAACTTTAAAAAATATAAGTTTGCCTGAAAAAAAAAAAATTGTACTTTCTTTTTACTTTTCTTCCTTTTTTTTTTTTTTTTTTAATAGATTTTTATGCAATGACTTATTAGTCCGACCATTAACCCACCGATTCAACTAGTAACCCGAGATCCAGTACCTTGTCTGAGTCGATGCCCAAGTCCGGTCTAATGACTATGCTTCAAAGGTTAAGACTCCATCGAGATTTAGTGAAGCAGTGTATGAATTATCGTGAACCAAAACTAGCTCTTTATATATATCTCCCTCTAAATATATACACTTCTAATTGAACAAAATTAAGAAGGAAAAAACGCGTTACAGCATAAATTGATCATTAATAACTTAATATTATAATAATCCCTCGAAATGTCAGAAATCAGAATGATCATCCATTTTTAGCGTATTGTATTAATGCAAATGGGATATACTATAATCATATTACATCCATACTTGGAACCACGTTTAAATGCCACACCCTTTAAATTTCTAAACTCATGTGTTGATCATTCTCAGACAGCTATTTTTCAAGTGGACAGATGCAGCTATAATCTTGTAAGACAAGCACAAGATCATATTTGGTACCATTGATAAGATCAGACACTATATTTTTAACTTCTTTCTCAAAAAGAAACGAAGAGAACGGACGGTCTATTAACTTTCAAGTATTCAATATCACCACTAAGATAAGGAGACAGACTTTACATTTGGAATTGCACATAAAAAAAAAAAACTTTGGGAAGCTTCAACGACTACTGATTTATTTGTCAAAAAACACAAGTACACTATAACAAATTAATTGGTCAATTGGATATTTGAGAGACAAAAACGCAGTCAAGTCCTATCTAATCCTTCCTACCAAACAAATCATAATTACATTACCTTTCCTCAAAATCACTATCTCAAGTAAGGTTAATCTTCACTAGAATTTGTGGCAATCTCCACAAGAAGGTGATGCACCCACCCCTAACATTTGCATGACATTTTAATACAGCCACAGAAGTTAATCTAATATATTTTAAGTGATATCACAAATCCCACAACAGTAACCTTTTAAAAACAAATTATCTCTAGAGTTACAATACTTAAAATACTCTGAGGTCACTCCAAAAACTGGCAATATGAAGTACAAATTAAGAGAGTGCATTTTTCTTCTAGGACCAAGATTGAGATCCTCTTACAAAAATAAAAATTGAAAATGAAAATGAAAACGAAAACGAAATGCTCAAGGAATCCAGCTTGAGGACTCATATTGGTGGAATGGCTATCCTCAGAATATCGCCTGTTTCTCCTAGAAATCTGCTGTCTGCTGATATCTTATAAGTGGCGACCTGACATCATATGAAATTTATGGAGGCTAAGCCATTCCATAGCACATTACAAAAATAATAAATAAGTAAAATGGAATCTTCATCTAATGACTCAATAACAATGAGAAATGCTATTTTTATCCTTGGCACGTAAAAGAATCAAAACCACAAGGAAAAATCAATCTTGAAATAATAAATCAAAGAATGACTTTCCATACACTTTTTTAATCTCAGCGAGTAATATTCCGAGTACTAGAATCCAAAAAATGCTCTCAACAAATGCAAAAATTTGCAAATGTTTCAGTAGGAGAAATGTTTGAAGAGGATTAGAAACTGGAAGGCTAAGGCAATTCTTTTAGGATGATTTACAAGTTGTTAGAAATAAGTTAAAATCGCTGTTTTGACTTATTTCTAGTGAGAGATTTATCTGTTAAAATTATGAATCAGTTAGCTTTCAAAATGCTAGAGTTTGGACACAACCTTCACAACAGAAATAGAAAGGGCACTTCACATTCCATACTAGTGTAGGGATCAATGCTTTTGGGCTAAGTTTGGCACACCGGATTACGCTGTGTAAAAAAAGTAGTAAAAAATTATAAAGGATAGTGATACGTAGATGGTAGTATGGTGTAGAGGTGTCAAGACGGACGAGCCGGCCAGACCCGTGAAAATCGGCCCGGATCAACCTGGGACCGCAGGCCGACCTATGACCCGAGAGGGCGGTTTACGGGTTAAGAAGGTGTGACCCGCGAGCTTCACGTGTTGCACCTTCACGGGCCGCAGTTAACCCGTTGGCCAGTGAATTTTTTTTTAAATTTGAAAAAAGGGGAGGAGGGGGGCAACTTAGTTGAGATGTACTTAAACTATAAATTATAATAAAAGTATGTGCCAACCTAGTTAGGATGTACTTATGAAATAAAATATCTGATAATAGTAATTAGAAATGTATTTTAACTGTTATTTGTTTAAATTAAATTTAACATTGTAAAGTTATAAATAATTCATGTAACATTAAATTTGATTTCTATGTAAACATTTCTTGGTATAAATATGAATTTATCATTTTGTTCAATTCTTAGTTTATATTTAACAACCTGCGACCCGTATGGGGTCGACCCGGATGGGTTAGCGGGCGGGCCTGGGTTGTAGTCCAAAATTTGTGGGCCGACCCGGAACCCGTAGCGGGCGGGCTTTTTTTCACGCGGGCCGTTACCGGACTCATATGTTGGCGGGCCGACCCGGATGACACCTCTAATTTGAAGCCAAAGAGGTGAAATATAGCCGAAATATTATCACAAATTAATTTTCTACCGAAAAAATTATGCTCCGAATTTTCAGCCTCAAATTGAGACTCATTTTTGGGATAGAAAATACTTGAATTGGAGAAATTGTATCCCTAGAAGAATTGTAGTTATTTGAGTTCTATTACCAACGCACTTTCTTATGTTATTTACTACTTTATTTATTATCGTGACAATTCAATAT